ACAAATATTTTCATTAGTAAATTAAATATAATCTGAACATCAAACTCTTTAAAGGAATGAATCTACTTTGGTATTCAATAAATATTTGTGAATATTCATGATGTTTATCAAATACTGAGTATTCATGCTTTAACTTGAAAAAAAATCTAGATATGGATATTTAAATTAGGGTTCAAATTTGATAATTTAAAACAAATACATATATAACCACCTTCAAATTTGATTATTTACCACCCCTAATCACATCTTCAGATGAAGCCAGATTTTAGTTGTACTTCTCAAAGAAATAAACCTAAAATACTGCCAAAATCTAAAAGAATTCACTTGAATTGTTAAAAGGAAATACACCAATTCACGAGAAAATGAAGAAATTTTGGGAAATTTTTCTGCCCCTAACAAACCCTTGAAGAAGCAATAATTAATTCAAAACCCTAATAAATTTTCCTTTTGATTAATATCTCAATGGACTACCAACTAAACCAGCTAAATGGAAAAAAGTAAAAATCTTAACATAATCTCAAGCGTTAACCTCTTCAGAAGATCTTCAATCCAATTCCACGAAAGGGTAATGCGACATTCAGAGATATTTTTAGGATTTATTATCGAAGAATAAAAGTTGACAGCAAATACAATTTTTAAGCTATATTTTTTTGAAAAATATTGTTATATTTGAAATTTAATATTCAAATAAAAAAGATGTTTTATATTTAAAACTTTTAACCTATTTAATTTAATTGGCATCTAAATAGAATATTTAGAAGAATCAAAGGTAGTTAACCAATGAAAGTTCACCCTAGCTTCCATTTTTAAAGGGAGTATGATATGATATATTATAGTAGAACAAATTTTTAAAATCAACCATTTTTTAAAATTAATAGGCAAAATCGATCGTGTCAAAAATTAATAGGCAAAATTGACCTGCACTGGACTACTAGTCCCGTGCAGTCCCTATCTCCCTCCTCACCACCTGCCTCATCTCTCTCTCTCCTCACTCACATGCCCCCTTCTCCTCCCGCAAGCCGCCCCCTCCCCACTACCCCTCATCTCCTTCCCCATCGACCTCGCCACCACCGAACTTGCCTTGGTGGTAGAGGTGAAGAAGGGTAGTGTTGGTCTTCTTGGGTAGTGTTGATCTTCTTGGGGCGAGGGAGGGAAGGGGAGGAACGAGAGGTCGAGAGGCGGGGCGGGTTCATCTTGAAGCTCTAGCCCATCACGTAATAGGAGCTCTCCAGTAGACCGATGGAGGGTGAGAACCCTACGAACATCCGGTCCTGGAGGACTGGGGTTAGGTCAACGGGGAAGGAGATGATGGGGGTCCTGGGTTTGTTGGAGAAGGGGGAGAGGGTGACGTTGAGAAGCTTGGCGGCGCCGTCGTAGTCGATCCAAGCTTGGAGCTTGGCGGCGTCGTCGTAGTCGATCCAAGCTTGGATCTTGTTGCCGGATTTGAGGTTAAGGTCGACCTTGGAGCCGGCGTCGTCGAAGTAGGCGGCGGCGACTGCGGACTTGTGGCAGGCGAGTTGTTGATGTGCGCGGTGGTTGTCCGAGGTTTTGGTGGCGTTGGTCGATGTCAGAGGTTTTGGTGGTAGAGGTGAAGAAGGAGGAGGTGAGTGAGGAGAGGGGGGCAGGTGAATGAGGGAGAGAGAGATGGGGCAGGTGTGAGGAAGGGAATAGGGATTGGGACGGGACTAGTAGTCCCGTGAAGGTCATTTTGCCTATTATCTTTTGACACGGTCGATTTGGGCTGATTTATTTAAAAACAGTTGATATTTAATAAATTGTGTCCATTATAGTAATGTAATAAGGTTATAGGAATTCTAAAAATTCTTTTTCTTTATTATATTAAACCATCTACTCCAAAATCAGCACGTTAACTTTATAGTGTAAATACAGGTTTTTAGGCCTATAACACCAATCTTAACAACATTTACTTTTCACCAACAACTTTCAAATTGGGTTTTTTTGCTTATAGTGCAAGTCTACTACATTTACTTTTTAATCTACCCCTTTCGAAGGATTTTTGATCGGCCGAGTACAGTTGCAATAGGAGCGAGCCGCAGACGCAAGCTTCAACACACGTCACGCGAGCCTCTGCCTCCCGTTCACGTATTTAAGTTACGATAAATGAAGGTAGAGTGAACGAAGCGCGTCTCCTCCTTAACGGTGATCTTCGCACTCCCCCTCAAAAAAAATGAGTCTTCCTCATCTCCTCTCCTCATCGCTCGAATCAAACATTCCGCCTCCCCAATCGGCATCACTACGGCCAGGTCGCCGACAACCTCCTCCCGCCTCGTCATCCCCTCCTCCCTCCATCAACAGGCGGCCGGTCAAGCTGACGATGCTGACCCACCGCCTCAATCCTTCCGCACCGACATAAGAGTTCATCATCGGCTCCCCGACAGCTCTCCCCTCCGTCCTCCCCCGGTCGCTCCATGGGTCTCTCCAACATCAGCCTTCTGCCCAAGACCAACATCGGTCGCGTCACCGTCGGCAACTGAGGTCTCTCGTTCAAATTCAGCGCTCATTACAGTGCTCCGTCCCGCCATGACATCAATCCTCCGGCCTTGCTCCTCGGCTTCGACAAGCGGTGCCGTCACCGACCGCTCATTCTCTCACATCCCTCGCTCCTACCTCACTCCTCGGCCAGTTCGAGCCGCAAGGACTTGATGCCTTCATCCCGCTGGCTGGGCTTCTGAAGCAGGACTGACTCCCCCTTTACTGATCAATGCTTAACTTTCTTCGCGCAGGCGGATCCGAAGCGGGTCTCCTTGGTTAGTATTGTTGGCCCATCGGTTGTGGATCCGAGCTGCCGGTTTGAAGTAGATACATGCTGCATCTCAAGGGGATGCGGTGAGGTCGCGAATTGCTGCCGCTGGATGAAGGGAGAACGGGGATCGAGGTTCGGTTTCAGAGACCGGGTGGCCATCCAAAGGCGACGAGATGAGTTTGGGGCGCCGGCGATAACGCGAGGAAGTAAATGGGAATTCTGATGAGGAAATGGTGCGGAGGCGGAAGGGGACGCCGATGAGGCCGGTTTACCGTTGCTTGTTACGTGTTCCGCATTGTTTACGAGAATTTGAAGCCCGGCCGGGGTCGGAGAGGAATTATGGCTCTTTAATCCTGGATGATGTCGCCGGCTTATGAATTCGGGATTAAGTCGGGGGGAATTTCAGTGGGGTAGCGTCGGTGCTGACCAGGGTGGTAGAGTCGCGACGGGGATTTTCGGTTATCTGGGTCTTTTAATACGATCTCATGATGGCGCGGTCGAGTAATATGATGATGATTATTTGATGAGATGGTGGGTTTTTATTCATCCGGCGGCTGCTTCGCTGTAGGGACCAAATTCCAAAATATTTGTCTGAGAGTTAGGGACTAATTTCAGTGTACATAGATTTGAGGCTAATACCAAAATAAGGTAATATGTTTTGCTAAGCTATATTTTGATTGGGCAGGGAGAAGATATTTTGAGCTGCGGGGGGGGGGGGGGGGGCGTTGGCTGTGGGGCAATGGTGGGGGGCTTTATTTTGGTTTGTTGCTTGAGCGATAGAAGGATTGGTAAAACTGCTGATAATAGAGAGCTGGAGTAGAGAGAATGGGACGGAATTTAGACATTTTTTGTTTGTTTGTTTGGAGGGGATTCTTAATATTGGTTAAGTAGTTAGAAGAAAGATTGGGAGTTTATTGCTGTTTCGTGGCTATTTCATGTGGGCTCGTATTAAGTTTTATCAGGCTATAAGATAGATACGATTTGTTTTTATATTGAGCAGATATTTAGTGTTATGTTCTGTTTGTTTTGGGTTCTAGTTGGTGTGTCGAAATTTGTGGTGAATTTTTTTTTATGTTATTGAGAACTATATCCCACATGTTAATATAATTAGCGTTGTTTTTGGATCAAAATTTAAGTCATTGCAATCTTTTCAAAGGCTAGTCTTGGTTAATAATTAGTTGCTTATATAAGCAATTATAGAAGAACTTATGATAGCATGTGTAGTTATTTTGGTAAATAGATATAGTACTGCTTAGAAAATACAGTTAAGTTTGTTTAAATTAAGGTGTTTGGTAGACCTGTTCTGCAATGATTATTGTTAAAAGATAAAATATAATGTAGT